AAATTCTAGCCAAATATTTAACTGTAGCCAAACATAAATCTCATTTAGCTTGTTCTATCTCAAACAGCACCATACTTAACCCATTCTTATATAATATACACAATATCTGGGATATTCAGCTTCAATATCATATATCGAACTTTATATTATGAATTAATAACCCTGATTTACTAGGAACTTCTACATGCATTCGACTACAACAATTACAAAATAATCTCTGGTCAACTACAAACATACTACAACATCCCCAACCTAATATTGATGAACCTAACAGATATACTTTAAACTTTAAAATTATTCAATTCTTTATATACATTAATATGTCTATAACAGCTAATAATAATGTATCTTGGCCCAATACTATACAATACAACCTTCAATTACTTGAACCAATTATGTCCTCTTATCCCCAATATACTACCTTCAAAAAACAACTTAGAAAACTTAATATCTTCTATCTTGAACAACTGTGCATTGCAGATAATACTACACTACTTCAATGAAATCATCTCTTACCTCGCTTAGTACAGCTATTCAAAGAACATAAGCCATCTTGGTTTACATATTTAGAAAACACTGTAACAACTAACAACAGCTCTAGAACACTACTCCCACAATATCAACAAACTGAACACAACTCTTTTGCTTACAATTCTCAACATATCTCTAAAAAACTTAAACCCTGGCTTCTAATATACAATAATAATGATATTATTATTGGCAAAATTCGCAGACATTTTAAAAATAACAACCAAATCTCTATTACATACTGGAAAACAAATATTAATACAGAACTCTCTACTTATTATCCTCTTCTATCAATTCAATACTAAGCTTGTACAGGTTGCTACCTCAACTCTCATAGAGTTGCAAATCGCTGTAAATTAATGTATCATCAATAATTTCTACCCAATTTCTTGGAAGAGTTTCTTCTAATACTCTTAACTTTATTACAATCTATATTAATCTGATTCATTCAACTGCAATTAAACATCTATTATTTCTACCTTCTGTCCCTACTATTTATATCTCTGACTCTCTTACATTAGAAATTTTTAAGCAAGAAGAAGCTACACATATACTTGAACAATATTCTGTTACCAATACAGCACAAAATACATTTAACTTCTATACTAATGGTTCTGTAATTGACATTAGTACAGACCAATGTACAATGGGTATTGGATAGATACAAGTTAATAATTCCAACCAAATAATTCACAAATTCTTAGCTAACATTCATTACTGACCATCTTCTTACAAAGCTGAACTAATGTCAATTCTTTTAGCTGTTTCAATTACCTCTCATAACTCAATAATCAATATCTTTACTGATTCTCAGTCTATAATTACTAAATATTCAAAAATATGCACCACTCTTTTAAATCTTAACAAGCTCTTCAAATTCAGCTCATGGCCTATATAACATACTCTGCTCAATATTATTAAATCCTATAACCACTAGATTAACTTTTACAAAGTACAAGTCCACTCTGATAACATCCTTAATAATTTAGCTGACTCATTAGCAAAACAACATAATTTATCACCTACATTACACTTTAATTACACAAGTATTTATAATCCATATTATATAATTTTTTGGAATCAACATTTTATTGAACATCCAATTAGAAGCTTTATCAAAAATATCAGCAGAGCCTACATTCTAGCAATGTAGTATTTCCAAAAATGTAATACAGAATAGGAAGTCTTGGTTTCTCAAATTGATTAGAGATTAACTTGGTTATTTTTTAACCATAACCAAAAATCAACTTATAATATCACTAACTTTAAACTCAACTACCTTAAATCTTTCAAAATTAAAATCTTATTAAATGAACTTCCTATCTACTTTCACTTTCATAAAACTTATCTATACACATTTTACAATACTAACTGTTTTAACTGCAATCTTGCTGATTTCCCAACCTATTGGTATATATGCTCAAACCCATCACTTATCTTCAATATTATTCAAACCAGCATATTCGAATACATTAATCACACAGATCTTGATTTATCTATAGACTAACAAGAAGAACTTATTCATAAAATCAGTAACTATTATGCCTTTTATCCTATACCTCTTCAAACCAATTAACATTATTTTGATATTACACTCAAAAGACTTATCTTTAAATTTCTAATTGAAATTATACAAAACTTTAACATCTTATACAAACTAGTCTTACAAACAATTATTATTATTCTGCTTAAAGTTAATGAACTTTCTTATGAACAAATATGAAAACCATATTGTATAAACTTTGTTAACTAGAAACAACAACAAGAACTTAAACTACCTTATGCCAGATCCTTATTTCAATCAAATCAAAATAACAAAAGAAACTCTAATCACAAAAATTATACTTATTCTTGTCTATGTGGACTATCTGACCAACTACACTTCAACTCTAATACCTGTCTACCTACTGGTTATACTATCTGTAAAATCCACATCTGGACCATTCTTTGGATCAAATATAATATTTTTTATAATTATATTCTAAACTTACAAATCTAGGTAAGTTTTGATCATTTTAGTAGATTTAGATCACAGATAAATATGTCTAAGCTTTTATTCTTAAATGTAATTTTTCTTTTATTTGTACTTAGAACATAATTATATAGTTAACAGTTAAATGGCCTAGTCTTGATTGCAAATGTTGATTTTAATCATAATATTTATATAAAAAATTACTTTTTATACATAACAGCTCCATGTAACTACCAACTTTTAAACTATCAATAAAGATATAAGCAAGACCTCAATACCAAAAAAAAAATTAATAAAAAAAGTATATGAAAGAAAGTTAGTAAAAAAATAATCCATTTTTAATAAATTTTTTTTTAATTTTTAAATTAAATAATTCAACAACTATTTAATCAAATTTGCTAAAAAAAAATTTTTTTTAATCCTGAAATTATATAGAATTAAAATAAAAAAAAATTTATTAAATTTAATAAAATAATTTTAAACTTAAAGTCAAGAAAACTTTTACTTAGAAAATTTTGTCTCTTTCCTACTAACTTGCCCCATATATAAATTTAAAAAAAGGCCTCAAATTTTCAACATAATCCCAAACAATTATTAATTCGGAAGAGTTTTTTAATTTAGTAATTTTTTTTATTATAGCATTAGAAATAATGAAATCGTTATAATTATTTGCTATACAATATTATAGCATAGGTGTAAATACCTTAAATAATGCTTTACGATAGTGCTTTATGAATAATTTTAGCGAGGATTCTGTTTCAAACATTTATATTGTTATGTAAATGATTAATTACAGACAATTTTTTCCCACTGATTATACTTACTAGCAAAACCCGGACAAATCCCAAACCCAATAAATATAATCAAAAAAATGGTTCTGATATTTTGAAATATTTTATAATAGCTATAAGAACGTATCGTTTGTTTAAATAAAGATTATTAATAAAGTTTTTGAGACATTAGTTTGGACAGAGTTGGAATTTGGGCGTGGATAAACCCAAACTATAATGGTTAGGGGTTTGGGCAGCAAGTTACAACTGACTGATTGATCCTGATTAATAAATTGGCTTGTAAAGAATAGATATTTTTTTTTGCGATACAAAAATATTCATATATAATCAACAAGTTGACCTTTCTAAAACTTCATGACTTTCATTACGGACCGAGGCTTATATAGACCTTACAAGAAATATTATAAGACAATACTTTTAATTTCGAGAACTATGTATAACTTACTAAAAGGGTCATGTTAATACCAATCGCGTCATAAAATATTCTATTATGACCACTTACAAGTCTAAAATATTTAAGTATCCAATCTTAAAATTGAATACGTATAAATGTACAGATTTGCAGTAACTTTTCAAATGAAAATTTATTTATTCAGGTACAACATAAATATATACAGTAAATACAATTAAACTGTGTATTTATATTTCTGTATTTCTAGAAATAAGTTACGTACGTACTTACGTATATATGGATATGAACGCACGATTCGTAAATAAGTTCTCATCCCAATAATTGCCTTATGATTTCTTGACATTTATGCGTAATAATTTCATACATTACTGAATTAATCTGTTAAACAAATGCATATACCTTTGTAGTTAACAAGTTTAGATTTTCAAGACTATTTACAAAAGTAACCGACATTCACAAACTCCAGTGGATAATATAAATTATTGCATCGATATATATTGTCCATTGCAAGTTTTTATAAAAACTGAAAAAACAGACAAGAGAATAGAATCAAAAATTATTCTTGTGGCTGAATAGCAATAGTATGTATATTTTGTACCATTCCGACTTACGAGACAATTCGGGTGATAGATCGTCAAAGTTGTAACTTGAAAGGTCCCAAAAATTGCAGCAGGATATTCTTGTATTTCTCTCGATTAATGATTATTTTACACGTACCAGTTAGCATTTTACTTGATGTGTGATTGTGTTCCTAAACGTGGAAGAACCAAGGTTCGCAAATTTGTAAAACTGTGATGCGTTATAATGCCAAGAAATATGAACCCCTCAAAAATTAGATCGTGTATCGGTATTCAAGTTATACATCAGTCATTTTAATGTTGTTACACCTCTGAATCTATAAAGTTTGAATTTCCTTGTATAACTTTGATTTTTTTCTGGATTTTTTTTTTTTTACGAGCTTAAATTCAGGTAACTACCCTCCTGAACCATTAGTCGTTTAGGACTTATTGTTCCCTAAAAAATTTTTTTGCGCCTGACGAAAAAAAAAGGACCAACTTATTTAACCTCATTAAGAAAGATGTACATTTGTTTAACATTGATTTACATAATTGATGAATCACATTGCGTGTACGGGTATTGCCCAAGTGTAAAATAATTCATATATATACAATAGAAGCATGACTAAACATCTCTCAAGCTTCAATCATTTCTTAAATATATTACACTTTCAAATCTTATTCTAATTTTTTTTTTTCTTTTTTTTTTTAGTTATTTGTTAATTATCTTTTTTACCGAGTAAATATGGCATTAAATAAGTCTTTAAAAACTGGTCATTTATATTCTGGGAGTGATGGTGGTAATTCAATTAATGAACATACTGATAATATGGTTATTAATGAAATTAACACATCAAAATCGACAATTGAAGAATCTAAAATGAAATTTAGTGCGGTAAGATTTAGGACAAATTTCTAAGAAATTTAAAAAATGTTTATGATTTCAAAATTAAAAATAATTCAAAAAATTTTTAATTATCATCAAAATTAACTTTGGAATGTGTCACCAAAATTTATATAAACATCAGATTATTCGCAAAGTTGTTGATAATGATGTTAAACGAGCAGAAACTTCTCTTAAGGCTCTTTGTGATGTAATGCCTCCACAGTTACGTTTAATAATGAACGGTTCTTCTATTAATGAAGTATTCGGTAGTGTTAACATGGAGATCCAACTTTCTAATGAACATAAAGAACGAAAGATGGATGAATCCTATAGTTTTGTTTCTCCTCCTTCAACCGTTGCCAATGAAACAAATGCAAACAAAGAAATAAATTATACTCGGGAATCAAATGACTTATGGAAAAATAATATAAATCATCTAAATAATCAGGGTAATAATGATCAAGTTCACATAGATGAAAAAGGAATTGATAAGCAAGAAGAGCTTTCAACAATGTCTACGCATCATGATGACCATACTCAATCTGAAAAAAATAAAACTATAGAACTGACAAATCATGAAAACTCTTCCACTACAGTTTTTTCAAACAAACGAAAATCCACACAACCTAGGAAATTTATTATCGAACACCATGAAACAGAAAGCAGGATCATTCGAAAGAGAGCTCGTCCACATACTAAAAAGAGGAAAGATATCGTTTCGAGCGATGAATCTGAAAATATGCAAGCATATTCAGTTGACGATCGAGATCAAATTAGTCAGCATAACACTGAAGAGTCCTCAGATGATGATTCGATTTCTTATAAACATGTAAAATTGTCTACTACACCTTCAATAATCGAAAATCAAGATTCCCATAAACCAAAAGGACGTTACTCAACCAGAAAGTTGGCAAATCCAATCGTCCAAAAAGGAAAAAACACCGTCGTTTCTTCTATAAATTCTGATCACAGTAGTATGTTACAACAAAATGGATTGAGTAAAACGTCGATGAAAGCGGCAAGAAAATTTGCTGCACCTGTACCAAAACCTGCTCCTGCTAAACCACAACGGCCTTTAGGTTCATTTGGTTATTTTCGTAAAGAAATGTTCGATAATCGAGATTCCGTGTTAATTGGTCTTCCGTGGAGAGAATGTATAAAAATCGTAGCACAACGCTGGAACTCATTAAGCGAAGAGGATAAAGAGGTGCATCTTAATTTGCTTCAAACTTATTTGTTATAATTATTTGCCAAAATTACTTATCAATTTGATTTATTAAAATTATAAGCCTTATAATGAACTTCAACGTGTTGCGAGCAAGAGATTTAAAGTGGAGAATCGTGTATATCTTGACTATTTAAAGGAAAATGGGCTAGTGGAAGAAAAAAAGAATAGGATTTCCGAAAAAAATGCTGCCAAACACACAAATGAAAGCAAAAAGAGAAATGTCATAGACGCTCCTGAAGGCAGGAAGCCACGTAAAGTTTCTAATAATAATTCTTTGAACAAGCCATCGACAATCTCAAAATCAAGAACTGCCGCGAATAAAAATCCTATTCGTGCTGCTGCAGCAAGCCATCGTAAACCTGGTGTGACTAAAATCTTTATCCCCTTTGTTCGTAAAAACTAAATATATTTGTGAGAAATTGTGGGAAACACAAAATCGGACAATGCTTCAATAAATCTCCTGAAGAAAGCACTATGAATCAATCAGTTTAATCAACTGATAGTTTTGATGCTTTCGATACTTCAAGTAAAACATTTACGTAAGTCAAAAGTACATAAGTAATTTCATAAGAACGTTATTCATTTAGTTATAGCGTGTAAAAAGAACGTAATAATAAAATTCGGATTATCTTAGAACTATAGCATAGTTCTAAAAAAATTAGATTATATTCTTCTATCTAGTTGGATTTCAATACATATGTTTAGAAACTCAGGCAACTTCGATGAATTACTGTACATCGGACTGCATTGGCGTGATGTAACTCGGACGTCATTTTTGTGTGAGATTGTATATACGGTGTGTTATAAAAAATTTTAAATAATTTTTTTCCTTCTCCCTTTTTTTTTTAAAAAAAAATACATATTTCTAACCATGTAAATAATATCTAAACTATACGTATAAATTTAGTTAAATTTAGTTATTTTTATTTCTATATAGTTTGATATAGAATTATTATTATAATATTACCCTTAATAGGATGAAATATATAATGCAATATACTGTATTAATTACTATAGTCTAAAAAAAATAATTTAGCACAAACAAATTGGTAATGTAAAAAAAAACTATTTTTATAGGCTACCGCTACTGTATACAAGATTAAATTTAATTTCTTTCAAATTTTAGTTGTAAAAAAGTTTATTAATTAAAAAACTACGTCTTAGTGGAATAAGTATTCAGTAATAAATTTTATTCTACGTATTAATTTCGTTAGTACTTAAATTTCGTTATAGTTATATGATTTCATCTAAATGATATAATTTAATTTAGTTTTCTAAATGTACTCGTAGTTAGCAAATTCATTACATAAACAAGTTTGGATCCTGTTAAATTTTAACCTCAACATTTAAAGTACATGAAAATCATTTTTATATAATTTTATAAATGTAAATGATAAAAAATATATTACTAGTTAAAATTTTCATTAACATTAAACTTATTTTATAAGAAACGTTTAGTTTAAAATCTAAAAAAATAAAAAATAAAAAATAAAATAACTATCTTGAAAGCTTAGAACAGTAAACATATATAAAAGATTAATAAACATCAAAATAATTATTTTTTTTTAATGTTAATGGTGAGGCCATGCCTTTATCTTTATTAAATATTTAATTGGAATTTTACATAAAGTACAATTCTGCTTTTAAAATATTATAGAAAGAATAGAAGCTCAGACTAATTTATCTGCAATCTA